CCAGACTTTCTCTTTTCTTTCTAATAATGCAGGACTATTTTTTTTTTTTGCCAAGTATGTAAGCAGTAATAAGGTCATTGAGGTAGCACATAGATTGCAAAAGCATCCTTTTTATCAAATTATTTCATAGAAAGGGACCTCTTCTTCCCAAAGCAACAGATAGGAACAACACTGAGTAAAACAAATGGTCGAATATATAATCAAAATAAAAGTCTTCCCCTGTATCTGTTAGATATTGTGTTATCAAAAGTCACAGCATCTCAGTGACATATAGTGATAATTACTTATTTCTCACACACCTGTCAGTCAGATAGGGTAGCTCTGAGGATGTTGGCTGGGTGACTCTAAGCTGCAAGTTGGGTCCGGGTCTGCTTCACAAAGCTGTCATCCTCCTTGGACCAGCAAGCAAGCAGGTTATGCACTTTTTAAAAGGATGGCAAAGGCACAAGAGAGCAAGTAGTACCAACAGTTCCTCTTAAGGCCTAAGCTTGAAACTGGCTCTTTCATTTCAGCTCATATTTTATTGATCAAAGCAAGCCACATGTTTACATCCAAAGACAAAGGGGCAGGAAAGCGTGCTCTGCCTTGGGTGAAAGAAACTATGAAGTACATTACAAAGAACATTGGCACAGAAAAGGGATGAAGAGGAATTGGGCCTAAATCAGAGTCTGAATTATCAAAATATCTGGGGGGAATTTTATAGCAACCCAAATACTTCTGTTTTCTTATTTGTGACTAATAGATTATCGTTAAGTCTAGCCATATCTTAGGATTATACTTAATTAATTTGTGATTGAGATATGTAAGTGAAATAGATTTCCGAGTAGTGAAGCTAAGAAAGGTGAGGGATGGGGACACCAGGCGAGTATGGGGGTAACTTCAATACTGCAATTTAGTGATAATTGTAAGATTTCTTTATTGTAAAATTTCCTTGTAATAATACAAAAGAACTGTTTGAGAATATATAGTGTTTACTCACAAAATCAGATCATCTTTACATAACTGTTTGTTGTTAGACTTTTGACTAATTTTAAAAAGGCTGTGATAATAGATGGGTTAAGGTGATGCTTCCTGATGAAAGTGGGAACTGAATTTGTATGATTCTTTTGACTATATTTTTTGTAATAAGTATGATGAACAGAATATGGACTAATGAAATTCAACTTAGTATTACTAGAAACTAGAACATTCTCTCCTGGAATAAATATGAAACAAGGAGCTTCAAATTTTACTCTGAATGAATTAAAAAATATTTTTAAAAATTGAGATATAATTGACATATGACATTATATTAGTTTCAGGTGTACAACATAATACTTCAGTATTTGTTTATATTGTGAAAAGATCATCACAATAATGTGACTAACATCCATCACCACACAGTTAAAAATTTTTTCTTATGGTGAGAACTTTTGTTAATATCTATTCTTTTAGCAACTTTCAAGTGTAAAATACGGTATTATTAACTACTAAGAGGCCTGGTGAATAAAAATTTGTGCACTAGGGGGGAGGGGTACCTCAACCTGGCCTGTGCCCTCTCGCAATCTGGGACCCCTTGGGGGATGACCACCTGCTGGTTTAGGCCCGCTCCCTGGGGAATTGGGCCTAAGCTGGCATTCAGACATCACTCTGGCAGCCCGGGAGCCCTCGGGGGATGTCCATTTGCCAGCAGGGAGCAGGCCTAAGCTGCAGTCGGACATCCTTAGCGCTGCTGAAGAGGCAGGAGAGGCTCCTACCACCACCGCTGTACTGGCAGCCATCAGCCTGGCTTCTGGCTGAGCAGAGCTCCCCCTGTGGGAGCGCACTGACCACCAGGGAGCAGCTCCAGCATTGAGCGTCTGCCCCCTGGTGGTCAGTGTGTGTCATAGTGACCAGTCATTCCCAGTCTTTCTGCTGTTACGGTCAGTTTGCTTATTACCCTTTTATTATATAGGATAGAGGCCTGGTGCACTGGTGGGGGCCAGCTGGTTTGCCCTGAAAGGTGTCCTGGATCAGGGTGGGGGTTCTGCTGGGGTGCCTGGCCAGCCTGGGTGAGGGGCTGATGGGTGTTTTCAGGCTGGTCACACCCCCTTCAGGGGAGGGGTCCCCTCTGGGGTGCCTGGCCAGCCTAGGTGAGGGGCTGATGGCTGTTTGCAGCTGGTCACACCTCCTTCAGGGTGGGGGTCCCCACTGGGGTGCTTGGCCAGCCTTGGTGAGGGGCTGATGGCTGTTTGCAGGCTGGCCAAGCCCTCCCCCCCCCCCACAGTGGGGACCCTCACCCCATGGTGGTTTGGCCAGCCTGGGTGAGGGGCTGATGGCTGTTTTCAGGCTGGCCACACTCCCTTTAGGGTGGGGGTCCCCACTGGGGTGCCTGGCCAGTATGGGTGAGGGGCTGAGGGCCGTTTTCAGGCTGGCCAAGCCCCCCGGCAAAGGAAGCTCCCAGCCTCTCCTTTTTTTCTTTATTCTGAAATTTATTTACCTTCTATAATTGAAACTTTGTTGCCTTCAGTGGAGCTCAGAGCCGGTCAGGAAGCTTGGCTTCCTTCATCACTGGAGCAACCAAGCCTCCTGCTCGCTTCAGCTCCTTGGCTGCCAGCCGCCATCTTGGTTGGGTTAATTTGCATATTGTCGCTCTGATTGGCTGGTGGGCGTGGCTTAAGGCATAGAGAAGGTACAGTCAATTTGCATGTTTCTCTTTTATTAGATTAGATAGTGATGATGCTATTTATACATTATATTCCCAGGACTTAATTATTTCATAGTTGAAAGTTTGTAATTTTTTACACCCTTTACCCATTTTGCCCATTCCCTACCCCCCACCTTTGGTAACCACCAATCTGTTCTCTGTATCTATGAATTAGAGGGTTTTATTTTTTTTATTTGTAAAATACATTTTTATTGATTTCAGAGAGGAAGGGAGGGGGGAGAGAGAGATAGAAACATCAATGATGAGAGAGAATCACCCATCAGCTGCCTCCTGCATGCCCCTTACTGGAGATGTGCCCTTGACTGGAATCGAACTTGGGACCCTTCAGTCTGCAAACTGACACTCTATCCACTGAGCCAAACCAGCTAGGGCAGTGGGTTTTTTTGTTTGTTTATTTGTCTTTTTAGTTTAGTTTTGTTTGTTTTTTAGATTCCACTTATAAGTGAGATCATACCGTATTTGTATTTTTCTGTCTGACTTGTTTCAATTAGCATAATACCCTCAAGGTCCATACATGGTGTCACAAATGGCAAATTTTCCTTTTTTCATGACTGAGTAATATTCCATAGTAGATACCATATTTCCCTTGTCCATTAGTCCATCAATGGACTCTTAGGTTGCTTCCGTGTCTTATATATCTTTTTGAGTTAGTGTTAAGTAAGATTATTTTTCACAATGTCTCAGATGTAGTATATTTTGTTGTGTAAGAAAGAAAAGCTGAGATAATAACCTTTTAGAACCCAGAAATGACTAATGGTGAATTCTGCTCTTAGGAAGCTGTTTGCTTTAATGTCATGCTCATAATAGAAAATGGTGCTAGAGAAATAGAACTTTACAGTAGACTACAAGAAAATGTACCAAAATTATAAACACTAGAATTATTTCCTATTCACAATAATTTTAATTATAACATTCAACTCCTGTTAAAAATCAGGCACAGCCCTAACCGGTTTGGCTCAGTGGATAGAGCGTCGGCCTGCAGACTGAAGGGTTCCAGGTTCGATTCCGGTCAAGGGCATGTACCTTGGTTGTGGGTACATTTCCAGTAGGGGGTGTGAAGGAGGCAGCTGATCGATGTTTCTCTCTCATCGATGTTTCTAACTCTCTATCCCTCTACCTTCCTCTCTGTGAAAAATTAATAAAATATATTTTTTAAAAAATCAGGCACAGTCCCAAATGCTCTAGATATATCATTTAATGTAATTCACAATCTGATGAGGTTTCTTACTGTCCTTATTTTACAGATGAAACAAGTTTCAAACTATCTATAATTCACATATATTACTTTAAAAAAACACACAAATAAAATGATAACCTTTTTAAGCAAGAAAAGTGTACTATCTTTAGGATTAACAATTTGCAAATGATCTGTTATATACTGCTTGTAAACCTTTTTCTCCAAAGCTATACTTGTGTGTATTATTAGAAAGGCTGAATTCCATTACCTCCCTTAGGGAAGTTGTTTAACATCTAAAGCCTCTATTTTCTTTGAAAAATAACTCTAATTATACTTGTTCTACTTTTTAAAATTGTTGAGGGTATCAAATGAGATATGTGAAAACAACTTATAAGTCATAAAGTACCATAAAAAGTTAGGCAGGGGTTGACACCAGTGGGGTGAGGGTATGAGTAGGGGGATAGGGGCCAATTGGGGATAAGGACACATATGTAATACCTTAATAAAGAAAAATAAATAAAGTTAGGCAGGGGTTTATTATATAGTCAACATCTTACATATTTGCAACTGGAATATTATAATTAGATGTTTTCTAGACAAGACATGGCACATTCATAATCAAAACATTGCAAATAAACACATATAAAGCTAAGACTTATTCAGAAAATGAAACTATGGTATAAATATGGCATCAGTTCCATTCTTAATCAGTGGTATATAAATTGGTAGTGCTACAGATAAAGCCAGATACATTCTGAGACACTGCTGTATTAAAACAAATAATGTTTAGTAACAGTATCTTTATTCAAATGACATTTTGCATTACCATTTGTTATTGTCAGTTTCTCACAGATGTCTGTAGGATTAGGAATTTTAATATTAAATACTAGATAAATAAGGGAAAGACTTTATTTAGTTCACTGTTATATTCCCATTGCCAGAATATTGTCTGAGACATAAATATTTCTTAAAAGAATGAGTGAAATGATACTCTGATCATTGGAGAAGAGAGTTTAAGAATAGCTGTAACATAAAAATGTTAAGCATAAATACTGGCAATGTGGGTAATATTCTGAAATTTCTTTGATTCCCATATGTTTGGCAGATTTATCATTTCTTCCTCTTTGCTTTACTTAGGGGCGTGCTGCCTTAACAAAAGAAAAAGAGGAATTTGCTCATGAACATGAAGAAATGAAAAACCTAGCAGACATTGTTCAAGAAATAAAACCAACTGCTCTCATAGGTAAACTTTTCCCTCCCTCACATAAACCCCAACTGACCCCATTTTCACCTGATTCCTTTTCTTAACTACTGATTTATGAGGCATAGTTTAGCTTTTTGAAATTCTAACCTTTGGAATTGACAAACAAAATTATATATTCACCGAAGCACCCCATGGACACCTATATTGTAAATTCATGCTGTCTTCTTAACCTTACTGATCCCGGTTGAAGTGTGCGGCCCCCTCTGCCAACTCTGTCAGCCTGTTAGTACCTGGCACATTCAGCACTTTTCCAAGCTTGATTGCTCCCATAGACAGTGGCTCTGAATGGGATGGAGTTGGCTCCCGTGGAAGCATTTGACAATGCCTAGAGATACTTTTGGTTGTAACAACTGGGAGGAGATGGGGGGTGGGGTCAGGGCTACTGACATCTAGTGAGTAGAGACTAGGAATGCACAGGAAAGCCTCCCACAAGGAATTATCCAACCCAAACTGTTACTATTGCCAGAGTTGAGAAACACTGAACTAGACCCTCCTTGAAGACAGGGACCATATTTCACATATCTTTGCATTGCTTATAGCACTTAGCACAGTAGTTTAACATGGCATGTGCACTGTGAAATGTTTATTATGGCCAAGTTTAATGTGGTTGAAAAAAACGCAAAGAAAGCCATGAAACTTAATCTCTTATTTTGTGTGTATATAATGTCAGCCCTTACTTTGTATCATACTCCATTCCTAGAAGCTCTTATGAAGCAGATGACAATATTGAGAATAATGTTGATAACCATAATAAAAACAAATACTCCATGCCTGCAACTGTAGGAAGCGTTTATTGTTGTTTTTTATAAAATATCGTCTATCAGGAATTGCCTTTTTTTTTTCATTTCCATTATGCAAATTGCTTCATTCTCTGTTAAACTTGAAACACATCATACTTCAGTTTTTAATTAAATTGGATGATTGTCTTAAATGTTAGCATTGGTTTATAAAACACAATTACTTGATAGCCCTAGAGACTGAAATATACTCTTATAGAGAGATAATACATATTGTACAGATTTTTAAAATTTTTTACTTATTGATTTGAGAGAGAGAGAAAGAGAGATGTCTTGTACCACTTATTTATGTGTTGTTTGATTCTTGTATGTGCCCTGCCTGGGGATCAAACCCGCAACCTTGGCATATTGGGACGATGCCCTACCAGTAGTCGGCAAACTGCGGCTCTTTGGCCCCTTGAGTGTGGCTCTTCCTAAGCCTTAGGAGTACCCTAATTAAGTTAATAACAATGTACCTACCTATATAGTTTAAGTTTAAAAAATTTGGCTCTCAAAAGAAATTTCAGTCATTGTAACTGTTGATATTTGGCTCTGTTGACTAATGAGTTTGCCGACCACTGCAACCAACTGAACTACCCGGCCAGGGTCATATTGGACACATTTTAATGTCCTGTTATAAATACCTGTAATCAAAATTCCTAGTGATTAGTCACCAGCTCAATGTATTATGAGTCAAATGTTATAGTTGTGATTTTTTAGACACTTGTAGATTTATAACCCTCAAGGCTATTTGACATTAATAAACTTACCTTTTTTGTCACTTTGATACAAAAGTTGTTTAGCATCTGTTAGAAAACGACCTGACTTTTCATTGTTGCTTGGGCATGGGCTTCTTGGATTCGTTAACCAACGATAGTCCTATTCACTGGTTTCTCATTTCTATTTTAGGAGCTGCCGCAATTAGTGGGGCATTCTCAGAACAAATCCTCAAAGACATGGCTGCCTTCAATGAACGGCCTATTATTTTTGCTTTGAGTAATCCAACCAGCAAAGCAGAATGTACTGCAGAGCAGTGTTATAAAGCAACCCAGGTAAAACAAAAGCATAACTGATATTTTAATTATCAAATTTTGATTCATTATAGGGAAGCTGAGGATATCAACGGAGCTTACCACTTAACTTTTAAAAATTATGCAAGCAAGATTGAAAAAAAATAGTGAACAGGTCAGAAGGGATAAGAACCATATTCTAGAATGTTGTTGTAAAAATCCTCTTCTTCAATAAAACAAAATAAACTTGGTAATGTTTTGATGATAATTTTCCTCATGATTTGGAATTATCTAAGGTTAAAACATAAAAGTTAAAAAGGAAAAAGCTTGATTCTAGATGCTTATTAAAATAACTTTTAACTAGCTATTCTGAAACACTGAAGCACACAGTATGCAAACCACAGTCTTATTTTTGCTTTGCTAACCCTGGGTTTGGGTTTTGACGCCGTGGGTGGAGTATCTGGGCAGCATTCTGACATCCAGCCAGGCTGGGGCAGGAGTCCTCAAAGCTTCAGTCCTTTACTGTTTCTCCAAAGTGACTTATTTATGCTATCTTTGTATTAATATACAGTGTGGGGCAAAATTAGGTTTACAGTTGTGAGTATGCGAAACAGAGTTTATTCTTGTATTATCTATTTATTTTTTGTATTATTATTTATTAACTAGAGACCAGGTACATGAATTCATACACAGGTGGGGTCCCTCTCCCAGTCCTGATCAGGGCTGATCGGGGCCTGCCGGCCGGCCAGCCAGAGATAGGGACCACGCAAGGTTGGCTGTGGGAGCACACTGACCACAAGGGGGAAGTTCCTGCATTGAGTGTCTGCCCCCCTGGTGGTCAGTGCACAGCATAGCAACTGGTCGACTGGTTGTTCGGTCAACCGGTTATAACAGTCACTTAGGCTTTTATATATAGATAGATTATTGTATTATTTTCCATATGGACAACTGTATACCTACTTTTGCCCCACCCTGTATAGGGTGTTTCAAAAAATGTTTACACACTTTGAATAATTATAAAGGCAATGTCTATTAAAATACATTTTATTTTCAACATGTAATAGAATTTACAGACATTGTGTGTATACATTTTTTGTGATTTCCTGTATATTTAACTGATATGTTGACAAGGGCCTTCTTCCCTTCAAATGTTTGAAAAGGTCTTTAAACAAAATAAGGATTGAGTCATAGATATCTAACACTTTTATTTTGGAAATAAATCCAAAATGAACTAGAAAAGGTAAACATGACACAAAGTTATGCCACTGCACAAATCAGACTTTGATGCCCCACTTCTTTAATATTATGTCCTTAAATGCTTATGAGTATAATCGATGAAATGTTGGCAAGGAGCTACTGCATTGTTTATCTCTCTTATTTGGGATGGCATCAATGTCCTCAATAATTAAATTTTTAATCTCATCTCTAGATTGGGGAATTTGACTCATCAGTAGTTCTTAAATCCTTAAAGGAAGAAAAAAGCTCTCTGAGCAATAACAAAATTTTAGCATTGCACATCGTAGGCACACTAAATGTTTAAGTAATCATTTTGCTTTGGATATTTCATAGTCCTCAAGAGTTGATAGACTCAGCTGTGATAGTCAATCAAAATTACCTAAATTTATATACTTGTGTTTTTAAGTTTCAATACATTTGATGCAAATGGCCTAAACTCTTTGTAGGACCTTGCTAAATGTTCTGTGTCCTTATACATAAAATTGAAAGTCACTTGAGGCTGAAAATGTAAGCACTGGTTCAGCCAAAGGATTACAGAACAAAGAAAGGTCTGCCTGTGGCTGGATGTGAGTCTCCGCAGCTGCAGACACAGGGGAAGTTGTTAAGAAAATTTAGAAATACAAAATGCAAAAAAAATTATTGAACCTAGAAAAACTATACCAAAAGTGGTATGGAGAGATTTCCTTCTCCATATTAACATTTCATGTATATGAGAATACTTATCTAGCTATCATTTACTTAATGCCATTCCTCCATAAAATATGACAATTATAGAACAATGGGCAGGAGGAGAGGGAGTGAAGGAGGGGAGGAGGTTAAACAAGAATAAATGCAATATTGAAGGTCTCTTCCTATAAATTTTCAAAGGTGTATGTACATACCAAATAGTGTATACAAATGTTTATTTAATATATATCAAATATTAATTTAGTTACATTAGAAAGTTACTTGTAATAAAATATTTTATCTGCTAAACAGAGCTGAAGGTATCAGATTTGTCTAAAAGTATAACCTAATCTTGTGTAACACATAATAGTGTCTTATAGACACCTACATGAGAATTTTTATTTTCTTTCTCATCTGTTTTCATCTTTTTATATCCTGAATAGGTTGAATCATTATACAATTTTACCTTTATACATAAGATATTCTCTGAAATTGGTTAAAATGAATAAGTTAATATTATTAATATCATAATGGGTTTAGACTCTAGATCAGCGATTTTCAACTGGTATGCCACAAGAATTTTTAAAATATGCAATACCTAGAGAACAAACTGACAGCTGTCAGATGAAAGGATTAAGAAAAACAAAACAAAACAAAACAAACAAACAAAAAAAAAACCTCACGGACACAGATGACAGTATGGTGATTACAGAGGGAAAGGAGGTGTGGGGAGGTAGAAGAGGATCTAGTCGGGATAAATGGTGATGGAAGGAGACTTGACTTGGGATGGTGAACACACAATACAATATACAAATGATGTATTATAGACTTGTACACCTGAAACTTATATAATTGTATCAACCAATGTTACCCTAGTAAATTCAATGAAAATTTTTTTAAAACATGCACTACCTGACTAGTTAGTCAGGGGCACTGACCTCTTTTGTCTTAGATTGTCAAATGAAAAAATGTCAACAGCCAACACAACAATAGCCATCAGTGAATGCCCTGTCTTGAACCATAAATATATAGATCATATAATATAGTTGCATCTTATTGGTCATGTTGCATAGTAAAGCTAATTGGTTAATTCTTGGTACCAGAAATCTTTATATACAAATATGAGCACTTGGTTTTTTAACCAAAGAACTTATATGCATATATGCATAATCCATGGACACAGACAAAGTCACTTTGGAGTAAAAATTACTATTATTATTTTTTGGTAAATTAATAAAAATCAAACCTATTTTTTGTCAGATTGGCAAAAAATATCAGATATTTTTGGTGTGCTACAGAATTTTAGTAATTAGTTTCTGTGTGCCATGAGATGAAAAGGTCGAAAGTCGCTGCTCTAGCTGTAAGAGGGATGCGAGTTCTAATTCAGTTTATCATCATTTAAACTATGCTTTGGGGATTTGGGACTTTAGACTTTTCCAGTGCATTTCTCAGATGTGATGCTTTATTTGTCCAGTGTTTCTTATACCTGTCTTAGAAGCCTGAATGCTTTTAAGGACGTCTCCACCCTCCCCTCATAGATCAGACAGATGCTTCCCTTTTGGTCAGCAGTATGGAATGCGGCATCCAACAGGCCCCAAGTTAATGCCATCTTAACGCATGTAATACATGAAGTTCCTCCAAAACATTGTGACAAAATATGAATCTAGGAAAAAATAAAGACAGTCTTTGACAATTATTGATAATTTAATCTTAATTGCTAATCCCAATTGTTCTAATAGGTTTATTTCCTATATGATTTTTCATGTAATTCTTCACAACGTAGAAATATATAAAATTTGTCCTAGTGATTATGTTGAAACGTGTTGATCCCTAAACTCTAACCTAGAATGTCATTCTTTCCAATACTCCAATATTAATGTATCATTTTTATCTTCAGCAGTCTATAATTGGAAGCCCATTAGAGATGGTTGACAGGCCTGTAGGTTGGACCAATGCAGAGTGGCACCAACTTTCAGGTGTCTGTGCACTTCTAGGAGTGGGGAGTAAGATAGAGAGCGGTAATAATCACCCACTCAAGAACTTATTGCCAACACCATAACAACTTGCCCAGACTTATTAGGGATGAAAAATTAAACTTCTTTCTAAATGCTCAGTGGGAGAGTCCTGCTGTGATACATTTGTGTTAAGATAGCTTGCTTCTCTTACAGTGTGTGTCTGTGTTGTAGGGGCGTGCGATTTTTGCCAGTGGCAGTCCTTTTGATCCAGTCACTCTTCCAGATGGTCGGACCCTGTATCCTGGCCAAGGCAACAACTCCTATGTGTTTCCTGGAGTTGCCCTTGGTGTTGTGGCGTGTGGATTGAGGCATATCACAGACAAGGTTTTTCTCACTACTGCTGAGGTACTGTAAAATACTCTTAAGTTCTCTCAGGCTATAAAATACCAAAGGACCTCCATGTAGTTGTCTAATGTTGCCTTTATCTAGTACAATCTCGGCTCACTCCCTAGAAGGTATAGCTGAAGGAGAGAAAATATTTCCCAGTGGAGAGAGAATAAGGGGCAGATAGCAGGTTCATATTGAGTCATTTGTAAAAGATTGTTCTTTAGTAGCCAGCAAAAACCCCACAAAATTGTGTTCTGATTTCTTAAATGGAACCCTTTTTTATCTTTATACTTTCAAATTTTGTGCCAGTAGTGAGACAATTAAAAATTTTGTTTCCAGCCCAGCTGTTGTTGCTCAGTGGTTGAGCATCAGACTATGAACCATGAGGTCCACAGTTCGATTCCTGGTCATGGCACATGCCCTGGTTGCGGGCTCAGTCCCCAGAAGGGGGCATGCAGGAGGCAGCTGATCAAGCTCTCATCATTGATGTTTCTCTCTCTTTCTCTCCCTCTCCCTTCCTTCCTGAAATCAATTTTAAAATATTTAAAATATCTCCAATTCATAGGTTAATTGGTAAATATTTCTCTACTTAGAGAAATATTAATGGCATTTTGAATATTTAAAATGAAAGCCTGATTTGGGATAGTGAAGAAGTGTTTATCATTCAGGGTTCAGTGTAGAAAACAGAAACCACTCTAGTATTATTTTTTATCTTCACCCAAGGATATGCCGGTATTTATTTTAGAGAGAGAAAAAGGAGTGGGGAGGGAGGGAGAGAGAGAGAGAGAGAGAGAGAGAGAGAGAGAGAGAGAGAGACATCAGTTGCCTTCTGTATGCACCCAGACTAGGAATCAAACCTTCAGCCTAGGTATGTGCCCTGATCAGGTATTGAACCAACTGACCACCCAACCAGGGCATAACCACTCTAGTATTTTTAGCAGAAAGGAAATTAAAACAGGAAATTAGGTGTTTATAATGTTGCTAAAAGGATAGAGGTGGGTTTTAGTGTGGGCCTTCAGAAAAGATTCTGAGAATATCACAGAGAAGACCCACTAGGGAAGCTCTGCTAAGCTACTACTGTTAAGAACTGAGAAAGCTCTGAAATTTTACCCTATTGTCAAGCTAACAAATTAGCCCGCCACAGTTTCATAAATTCTGGCAAATGATACAAAACTCTTAGAGACAAAGCACTTTATTACTTACTAGATATAGCACAAAAGGTAATATGAACTTCTAGTGCCCACTAGCTCCCCCCACCCCCAGGCCTTAGGGGGGTGATACAGTGATTGACATACAGATGTAAAGTCATGAGCTTTTGATAATCAGAATGTTCATCTAGCTGATATCATGTTCTAAAATGATACAATTCATGAATGAAAATTAGAGTGAAATTCTTCTCTTAGAATTAAACCACTGTACAACATTATAACTGAACTGAATGAAATAACAATTAATATTCAATGAAAATGTCAACAAAGACTCTTATGAAATTGATGTGATCTAAAGGGGTGTAATCCCCATATTCAGGCGGCGTCATTCTGTGAGAACAGATGTCTGGAAGCGAGAATGTTCTGCTGCTTTCTTTTTGGTCCCTGCAATAAAAGCACAGCAGCTATGTCTCAGCGTTACTTTAACTCAAAAAGTCTTGTTGAACATAAGTACATGTCTAATTACTAAAAGAGCTTTTCAAAGCTGTTACATTAAGGAAAATATAATGATTATATTTTATAGCAGATACATCATAAGAAAAAAAAAGGTCTTTTATTCATAGTAGCCAGCATTTTCTTTCCTAAATAACTCCAGCACCCTCTAGTGACAAATTGCATTAAAAAACGTTCCATTTACTATCCAGGAAAAGTAATAGCAAAAAACTATGAAGAAAAATAAATAAAATATGTCGATGTCATTAGTGTTGTTCTTTTTTTTTTAATTTTTTAAAAATATATTTTATTGATTTTTTACAGAGAGGAAGGGAGAGAGATAGAGTTAGAAACATCGATCAGCTGCCTCCTGCACACCCCCTACTGGAGATGTGCCCGCAACCAAGGTACATGCCCTTGACCCGAATTGAACCTGGGACCTTTCAGTCCGCAGGCCGATGCTCTATCCACTGAGCCAAACCGGCCTTGGCCATTAGTGTTGTTCTTATCAGAGCTTGGGATCTCTCTGGCTAAATCTTTTGGCCTTTCCACGTTTCTCTTAGGCTTCAAAACAATATTCCGGTTTTTATACCACTTTATTGATTTTAGTGTCTCTCTTTCATGTCTTCATGTCTTTTTTTTTTTTGCTATGAGCACTTTTCTGGCATTCATTTTTTGTCCTTTTTTCCCCCCTTTTGCTTTGAGAGATCTCATCCATTCTCTTGTTTCCATTATCTTCATTCAAAAATTGCTCAAATCTGGGTATCTCTATTATCATCTTCACCATGTCTCCTTATATAATGGGCATTTCCACAGAAATACCCTGCTGATTGCTTAAACACAAGACATGTAAAACCATATCGCTCATCTTCCCTTGCCTTCAGTATTTGCATTTGTGTTAGTGATATGGCCTTTCTAAGTAGGCACCAAAGCTTAGAAGCCAGACATTCTTTTCAGTCTCCCTCATCCCAAAGTTTCCATGCATACACACTTACATGTAGTTTCTCTCTATGACCTACTATCTGTTATCCTGCCTGGGAAACTCTGAAAATCATTCCCCACCCATTGAAGCCTACCCTTCAGGTCATTGCTTAAGTCCCCCTCATCCTCCTGTGACCACTCTGGCTGCTCATGGTCTTTCTCCTTAGCCATGGCTGTCTTCATCGAACATACCAGCATTTAAATTTCATTCCTAGTGGTTTTATGCCCTTGAGAGCTTCGTATTTTAAACAATTAAGTGTTGTCTTATAAATAAATTGTAAATTATCTTTTTTAAAAAAGAAAGCTTTCCATATTCTTCTTTTAAAATACCAGTAGCACCTAGTATGATGCTAAAGCATATTGCAGAAACTGAGTAAATACTTACTGAATTAAACTAAGTAGAATAGTCATGGATCTTAGCAAGAAGAACAAATACAATACCACATGCACTCACTGCTAGAGGGCCCTATAAAGAAGAAAGTCCTTTTCATCTAGATTATATTTGTAGTTAATCAAAGTAACATGTAGGAGATCTAGGTGAATTTTTGATTGGCAACTGCAAATAACTATTAGGGTTATTGTAAAAATGCTAGTTAGATATCTTATGCAACTCGAAATCTCATGGATTGGCATCAATGCTGAAAACTATTCCTGGACAGTTTAATATCTCACACAGAGATCGTTGGCTTTCCTGGTACTCTGGACAGTCTCCCGGGCCCCTGATGGGAGCACCCAGTGTGCCCCAGGGGCAGCCCTCCTGGCTTGGCATTGAATGTACAGCAGCCTGTCCACTTGTGGGAGGCAAGCCTTGTCTCCTGTCCTCACACCACTCCTCTTGAGTCACCTGCTGGGTCCTCTCATTCACCTATGTATATGCATATATATATCGTATTTTATTGGTGAACCATTTGAAAGCAACTTACAGATAGTATGCCTTTTTACCCCTAAATATTTTGGGAAATTTTCTTATGTGATCAATGTACCATTATCAATTCAGGAACATTAGCATTGATATAATACTATTATTTAATGCACAATCCAAATTCAAATTTTCCATTAAAAGGACCTTCAGAGCATCTAGGCTAATCCTTTAATCTATAAGAATATTTCAGCCTTTTGTTTCCTTTATGGCATTGACATTGGAGAGTACAGTCCAGTTATTTTACAGTGTTCCTCAATTTAGGCCTCTGATTGGTTCCTTCTGATTTAATTCAAGTTGCATGGTTTTGTGAGGAGCACTGAATGCCTAGTAATTGTCTCCTTCTCAGGGCAACACCTCAGGAGGCACATGATGCGAAGTTTTCTCCTATTTTTAAAACCACTTTATTGAGTTATGATTGACATGTGAAAAGTTGTGGTGGTCAGAACAATTAATATAAGAGCTACCCTCTTAGCAAATGTTTAAGTGTGCATGCGTGCACTGCCTGATTTAGAAATGGGGATGGTTGCGGACAGCAAACGCTGATGTTAGTTAGGTGATCCAGATACTCCAGAATCTGTGGGAAATTAAAATCCTACCCGCAAGGCGACTCTGAAGGAGGTTTCTCAGCCTCCTGCTCTCCCTCCTGTGCAAGATTATGTGAGCTGGGAGTCATGACATCATCAGCTTTGCACACCTTCCCTCCTCAGCGGCTTTCAGGCTCCTTCTCCATCACTGTCATCCTCCTGTAACTTCCTACTCCTCTCTCCCTGTTCCTCTTGTGTGGTAAATGGGAGAGCTGCTGGCATTTCATGGTTCAGTAGAACAGGAACTGGACTAAGAGAAAACCCAAATTCTATTCCTGTCTTTTTCGCTAATGGTGTGATCCCACCAATCACCAAGCCTGTCTGGGCTCAGTGTTTCCGCTGATAAAGGGGGAGGGGAAATTAGAGGATCACATTCATGTGATCCGCTTCTATACATGACCGTATATGTGTCATTCACCTAATTATCCTCATAACCTCCGCATCGTATGTGTGAAGTGTAAACATTTTTGTTTTTCTTTTCTTTTTAAGGTTATAGCTCAGGAAGTGTCAGATAAGCACTTGGCAGAGGGCCGCCTATATCCTCCTTTGAACACCATTAGAGATATTTCTCTGAAAATCGCAGTAAAGGTAAAACTGTTCTTGTTCAACCTCCTTATTTTTCCTTCCTTATATTGTTAAATATGCATTTTTTGGTATTAAAAATCCACTCTCTTGAAATTTCTGTCACCTTATTATGTCAGCTGGCACAGAGCCTCAGCAGAGCTTAGGGACTGGGATCTGTAGCAATGGAAGAATCAGCTGAATCATTAATTCCCCCATCAATCTTTTTCTCTTCTATAATTTAAGTGATTCATTAGGATTTCCTTTCAGGTAGGTCTTTTACACTTTACCCTTTTTTAGTTAGTATCTTCCATATCACAGTTATGAAAGTTGCTAACATGTTGCGGATGTGGTAGAGGGACATTTAGACTCCAAAATACCTGCCTTATCCACGTCTCCATGGGGTGTGGACCCGCGTCTCCATGGTGTACGGTATCTTAAAGATCACAACTAATAACACTGCAGAGGGCAATGCAATGACGGCAAAGCACTCAAAGCTCTTGGGGTGGTAGATGAACTATTGAAGGAATCAGCCAAAAAGAATCTAATGGCAGAGAAATCTTTTGTAACTGAGAGAGATTAATATTTTTGCAATATAGTTGTATTAGTTTGCTAGGGCTGACATAGCAAAATACCACAGACTGGGTAATTTAAAAACATTTATTTTCTCATAATTCTGGAGGCTAGAAATCTAAGATTCAGGCATAAGCAGGACTTATATCTTTGGAGGCCTCTCTCTCTCCTGAGCTTGTAGGTGACTGCCTTTTCTGTGTCTTCATGGGGTCTTCCTTCTGTGTATGCATATCCCTGGTGTTGCTTTGTTCAAGTTTACCTTCTCATAAAAACACCAGTCAACATGGGTTAGGGCCCACCCAAACAGACTCGTTTTAACTTAATTACCTCTTAAAGGCCCTGTCCCCAAACACAGTCACATTCTGAATACTGGGGGTTACGGCTTCAATATTTTGGGGTGACATAGTTCAGCCCATAATATAATTATATATTTAAGCTAGGGTTTCTCAACCTCATGCACATTTTGTCTGGATAACTCTTTGTTGTGGGGCTGTCCTGGGCATTGAAGGATATTTAACAGCGTCGCTGGCCTTTTCCCATTAGATACCAGTAGCCTCTGACGGGTTGTGACAAACAAAAATGTTTCCAGAACATTGTCAACTGGTCCCTCAGAGGCGAAATGGTTTGTGGTTGAAAACCAAAGCTATTAGCAAGTTTATCAAAACGACACCATTTAGGATTCATATGTCATTATTTATCTTGTTGATTGAGGGTAAAAGCTTCAAAAACTGAGTAATCCTTCAAAAACCATTTAGATAATCTGTATGCTCATATTTTCTCCTGATGTGTGTCTACTAATCTTTAACTAGTTTGAATAGTTATTGCACCACACAGTAGTTGGGATTACAAGAGAACAAGTATGGAAAGAAAAGAAAACTAAGGATAGAACATCATTTCTTTTCTGCCAAAAAACAGAAGAAAGGCAGTTAGGAAGAGAAGTCATGATTTCAAGGAGAGACTCAGGACTGCGCAGCATGTCAGAAATTAGAGGAAGACACACTTCCAGGATGGGGGTGGACATTGTGATTAAGAAAATCAAGTCCTGGCAAGAAAAACTCGTTTGAATGATGACAATTTTTATTTATATGTAAGAAGTCATCAGAAACTATTACAAAAAGCAATTTCAATGGTACAAGAAGTTAATCCAAGCCACTCTTCTAGAGAGTTGGGCTTTGACAAGGAGAGAGGGAAGACTTCACTGAGAGGATCATTAAGAGTCTGTATCCTGGGAGCATAAAGAGGAATGAAATTCCACATAGTTTATGTCAGAAATGAAACAATGCATTGTAGGCACTTTGGAAAATAGAGAAGAGGGAAATGCCTAAATTCGACTTTTCTAACAGAAGCAACTCATCATTTTGGGGTGTGTGCTTCCAGTCTTTTTTCATGTGTTTGCTTTCATTTCTAACATAATTTAATAATGTATGGTGTTTTGTTTTCTGATATTTTCATAAACATTTCTTCATGATATAGCACAGTCTTTATAACCATAATTTTTCATAAATGCATAGTTTTACATTGAGAAAGAGATACCTAACCATTCTAATATTCTTTGAAAACAGACTTATCCAAATAAGTCTAGTATACAAATAGTTCCTCAGTGAAACAGGAGTAATTTAAGAGCACACATGGAATGATTCATTTTGACAAGAGGGAAAATCCATTTTCCTCAAAGAAAATATGGGAAGAGAGGACGTTTGAAGAGAAAGAGGAGATAGTTTGAGTTGATGAAAAGGGAAATTGAGATTGTTTTCTCAGATTAATTGGAATCTTCTCAGTAGAGTGGTGAGAGTTAAATGGAGACTCAACAGGGGATGGTTTGAAATTACCTGTGGGAAAGCTGAGAGGAAGTTGCTTTTTATTTCATTTTTCAAAAGGAGGATAAAAGCATAATGTGTAACCACGTAACCCAGGTGAGGTTAGGAATAGTAGGACATTGCGGGGGAGAGCCATGGAAGGAGAAAGCTGGCACTGAGGGTTCCCCACGCTGGGGACTAGAATGGAGAGTGTGACACAGAGACATGGAAACAGGATTCTGTGATGCTGGGAAGGAGTGTTGAAACTGCCCATGGAGTCCTGCTGGTTAGGTGAGCAGGGTCAGGAGACTGGGGTAAAAAAAGAGATTTTATAAGAGCCTGTGGTTAGAATAGAGATTATTAAAACTGCAAGGTGTTGAAGTTCAAACTTAGTAGGCATATTACAATAGTCAGTTCAAGTTAATTACCAGTCAGGTCATTTCAAGACATTTCCCACGTTATCTGAGAAATCCTGGTGTGATCACCCTTGAATAAATCTCTGCTATCCACACTTCCCTTTGTTGCTGTTATTGTATTCTCCTCTTGCTACATAATTTATATTTGCATTTTCATTTTATATCTTATTTGTGTATGTGTGCTTTTAATACAACTTGCTGTTTTTGAAAACAGACAAGATATAAATTATATATTAATTTTCTTGGAACAGACAAAAACTTCTGCCATGTACTCACCATCACCTCTGTTCCTTAAAATATAACTAAGACTCTTTTTCTATTTCTAGATTGTGAAAGATGCATACCAAGAAAAGACAGCCACAATTTATCCTGAACCCCCAAACAAGGAAGCGTTTGTCTGCTCTCAGATGTATAGCACTGATTATGACCAGATTCTACCTGAGGAGGCCCAGAAAATACAGACCAAATCTGACCAGTAACATAATAACTAACATTTATAATTCCATTAATGAGATCTGAAATCTTTCATAATTTTTAAAGATTAGAATCTTTTATAATGATTTAAAATATGCTAGATTAAGATAATTTTACTTTAACAATCTAAAAATTTATGGGAAAATATTAATATACTTTAGGGCACATATCATACTAGACAATTTTGCTTCATTTACTTTCTGGTTATTTATGATTTCTATCTTATTTTGCCCAAGTTCTCTTTAAAAGCTATTGTACCTACTACTGAGAAACTCATTGTTTTTATATAGGGAACTAATGGGAAGACCAAAATTAGTAATAAATTAATATGATTAAAATTAAAACCCATCATTCTTTGGTTGACCATTTTGTTAAAAATCCTTTTTTATATATAGACAGAAATATATTTAGGCATAAATGAACTTTTGCTAAAAACAGAAATAACACGTTGTTGCCTAGAGAAATATAACTTCTCAGGTATTTTTATTCCAATTCCAGACCATACTTGTTCTTTTGGTGCAACTGAATTCTAACATTTCTAAGAAAGATTATTGCTGTTTACAATGCATTGGGCAGCCTTAGATTTTAATATTCTTTCTCCATTGTTACATCTTCTTATCATCTTGGCCTCCATCACCTATCCTTTCTAATAGCATCTTTCTTTCCCCTGACTAAGTACCCTATCCTTCAGCTCCACTTTACTGCTGCTGGGCCTTTGAGGATTATGGCTCCTGTCCTGAGGTAGGTACCTTCAGTTCAGCACAGGCTGAGCAGTGGGAAGAGCAGAGGGGAGAGAAGGTCAGCTCCTTGAGAAAAGGCTGTCTGTGGCATCAACCTCTTAAGACAAGGATCTGCAGAGTCAGGAGCAAGAGCCCAGTTCCTAGACAAGCTGGGTTCCCACTTGAGTGACCTGCTCTAATGTTCCTTTGATTCGTTCAGATAATCAAGAGCTCCTTTTGTGGTTACAGTAAACACAATTTCCTCTGAATTTGGAGAAAATTTTGTAACCACTTCCCCAATAGCAGAAATCTTTACATTAGATATTAAAATATTCTAATTACCGCCCTGACCGGTTTGGCTCAATGGATAGAGCGTCGGCCTGTGGACTGAAGGGTCCCAGGTTCGATTCCAGTCAAGGGCATGTACCTTGGTTGCGGGCACATCCCCAGTAGGGGGTGTGCAGGAGGCAGCTGATTGATGTTACTCTCTCATCAATGTTTCTAACTCTCTATCCCTCTCCCTTCCTCTCTGTAAAAAATCAATAAAATATATTAAAAAAATAAAAATAAAAAATAAAATAAAATATTCTAATTACCATTAGTAGTTACAGCCAAGAAATTCATGTTCATTTCAAGCTTTACTTTAGAAACTAATCACTGAACTACTGGAGACAATTTTAAATTCATAAGCTCAGGTACAATAACATTTGCTATTTACTTGTAGAATTTTTTGGAGAGTTTTCTGGTTTTTGAAGTAATGCTTTTAAAGAATATAAAATGATGTTCAAGGTTAACTATACTATAAATGATTTTATTGTAAGTGGAAGGTTACAAATTGTTTTAAGTGGGAGAAGAGGTGGGGGTATTTCTGAAGGTAAGATTTAGTCAAGAATTTCCTCAATATAGTTATTTTGATAAGATCCAGAATGCCTCTTTTTTGTCTGTTTCGATGTTGTCTTATAGCTCTAACTAAATGTACTTACCTATGCAAAAGATTTATTAAAGCATAGAAAAAGTGAATGAATAAAAGTATAAAATAATTGTTTTTCTCTTAAAGTATTGTTCATTTAAAAATAATGCTGGGTCTTAATGGGTGGTCATGTGACAGTATATAATGAATTTAAAAGTATTCTGATAGTTAATTTCAATATGAAATTAGTTTATTTAATACCAGTTGTATACAAAATGAATGAGCTTAGAGGAAGATAGTGAAACAGCTTTGGATGGTTACTTACTAGGTAGCATGTACTCTGTGTACATTATCTTATTTAATGTGGTCCCCACAATTCCCTTATGAAGTAGATATTTTGAGTAACTTGCCAAGTCCACAGAGTTAATACTAGTAAGTAAAGGAGACAGGCTTTAAATCTATGTTTATCTTTCTTCTTAGTCTGTTCTCTTTTCACTAGAGTACAGTTTAGAACAGCACTGTCCAACAGAAAATGAAAGAGCTACACGTATAATTACTAGTAGTTTCATAAAAAGAAAAATGGAATTTATACTAATAATATATTTTATTTAAACCAGCATATTCAGAATATTATCATTTTGACATGTAATTAATATAAAAATATTAATGAGATATTTCACATTATTTTGTTCATACTAAGCCTCTAGTATCCAGATATTTATACTTACATCAGTCATGAGAACATAGAGGACAATGGAATAGAACAAGAAGCTCACAGAGACCCCCTGAATATATGAATTATAAAGGCAGCACTATAATTAGAGATAAAGAATGGATTATGTAGTTAAAAAGATTAGGAAAACTTAAAACTATAGAGAAAATGAAAACTATATACTATATAAAATTAAAACTACTATGTAAAAAGGTAGACTTTAAATGGGTTAATACTTAAGTATGAATGGTAAAATATAAAACTAATAAAAAAATCGAAGCAAAATATCTTTGAGACCTCAGAAACACAAACTTGAGGTTAAAAATTTGATGGAATGTACTATCTAAGAGTGGAAAGGTTTTGGCTGATAAATGGCTGCTGCCATAAAACTGTAAAGGATGAAGAAATCCAGGACTGTGGGGTAGGTTAGTTGCTCTACAGAGATGGAATCATAAAAAGATAATTTAGGATCAAAGGCTTAAGTTCTCAGCTCAAGGCACAGTATAAAAATGAGAAAAATGCCTATGTTTTTGCTAAAAGAATCTCTTCTCTCTTACCAACCTTATGTAAGGCTGAAATAACTGAAAACCAAGGTATTATTTTAGCCATCTGGTTGCCAAATTACACCAGGAATTGCATTCACAGCCTTACCAGACCTCATCTAAAAGTAAAGAGTAATGACCAGGAAACAGTAGGACCTAGATTTGGAATGGGGATGTATGGCAGGGGGATTTGAAGGACTTGTGACACTCTGAACTAGGTGAACAATAGCCCGTTTTTAATTACTGAAAGTCCTGTGTCCCAGGAAACCCCTCAACCCCAGACAAACCAGAACACTTGACGTGTCCTCCCTTGCTAATCAAAGCGGGAGGTTTTCTTGTCTAAAGATGTTGCTGCTCAACCAAAGGGCTTGTATGCATACATATAAGCCTAACCAATGGACACAGACAACAGGGGGGTGAGGGCATGAGTGGGGAGTGGCAGGGGGCAATGGGGGGATAAGGACACATATGTAATACCTTAATCAATAAAGAAATGTTTTAAAAAAAGATGTTGCTGCTGCCTTGCTTGAAGATCCTGTGATGATCTCACTCGGTTTGCTTCCTGCTCTTCCCAGATTACTTCTCCTTATCTCTGTACACATAATATCAGATCCCAGTAGCTGGGTTGGATACAATTACAAAGACAAACCCAGGAGGAGAAGATTCCTACCAAACCAATTCTAGATTTGACTTATTTACATTGGCAAAACCTGAGGAAAATGTTTGGGATTCTGAAAATGTACTAAGAAAGAAGTGTGATTTTGGATTGGGTAGAATTGATTGATTAGGGGTGCACTTGCCACAGGGGTCTTGATTAATGTGCTGCCTTAAGCAGTTGAAAGAGATTCTACTAGTTGGTTCAATTAGTTGACTGAAATATACTATGTAATAAAAGGCTAATATGCAAATCAACCGAATGGTGGAATGACCAGTCACTATGATGTGCAATGGCCACCAGGGTTTAGACGCTCAATGCAGGAGCTGCCCCCTGGTGATCAGTGTGCTCCCACAGTGGGAGTGCCGCTCAGCCAGAAGCCAGGCTCACGGCTGGCGAGTGCAGTGGTGGTGGTGGGAGCCTCTTCTGCCTCTGAGGCAGCGCTAAGGATGTCCGACTGCCGGGAGCAGGCCTAAGCCGTCAGTCAGACATCCCCTGTGGGCTCCTGAACTGTGAGAGGGTGCAAGCTAGGCTGAGGGACGCCCCCCACCCTGCCGAGTGCACAAATTTCATGCACCGGACCTCTAGTAAACTTAATAATGGCCCACATTAAATACAATTGAGAATGCCAACATTCCTTGAAATAATATAAAGGAATTAAAAGATTACAAAAATAGGAGTGTTGGAGTGGATTTGTCTTGTGCAAATCAAAACATTCTAATCCTAATTATTTCCTAACTAAGTTTCCCAAGAGGACCTATCGGTTTCACTGAGGCCTTGAGAGACACATTGGTGAAGGGAATAGCAGCATCCATGAAAAACATTTTTAAAAAATTAAGGTATAATTAACATGTAACATATTAGTTTCAGGTGATCAACATGATTCCATATTTGTATATATTGTGAAATGATCACCACAATAAGTCTAGTGATCATTTGTCACCATACATAGCTACAAAATGTTTTTCTTTTTTATTAATATTTTTTTGGTGTACCACAGAATTTTAATAATTAGTTTACATATTTTTTAACATATTTCTTTATTTCAGAGAGGAAGGGAGAGGGAGAGAGAGATAGAAACATCAATTACTGATCAACTGCCTCCTGCATGCCCCACCCTGGGGATCAAGCCCACAACCCGGGCATGTGCCCTTGACCAAATCAAACCCGGGACCCTTTACTCCACAGGCCAATGCTCTGTCCACTGAGCCAAACCAGCTAGGGCCAAAATGTTTTTCTTATGAGAACTTTTGAGATGTACTCTTTTAGCAACTTTCAAGTATGCAACAGAGTAGTATTAACTACTAGAGGCCTGGTGCATGAAATTCATGCATGGGTAGGTTCCCTAGGCCTGGCCTGCAATCAGAGCTGATCTTCCCCAGGTTGGGGCAGCTGGCCCCTCCACCCATGTCCGCCGCCACCCACCCCCCAGTTCCCCGTTCCCCATTGGATGATTGGAGCCTGCTGGCTGGGTGGAGGGACCAAGAGGTTGGCTGGCAGGCCCCAATCGGGATCTGGGACTATGGGCTGGGAGCAGCTCCTGTGTTGAGCATCTGCCCCCTGGTGGTCAGTGCATGTCATAGACGACCGGTCATTCCACCATCCAATTGATTTGCATATTACGCTTTTATATACATAGTCAGCATACTAAACATTACAGTCCCATGACTTATTTTATAACTGGAAATTTGTATGTTTCGACCCCTCTCACCAATTTCCCCCATCCTCCCACACTCCCATCTCTGTTAACCACCAGTCTCTTTTATGTATCTACTAGAGTCCTGGTGCATGAATTCGTGCACTGGTGGGGTCCCTCTGGGTGCCCTGTGGGGATTGGGCTGAAACCTGCAATTGAATGCCGCCTGCAGCTCCTACCTGCTGCTCCCGCTCATCCCAGCCCCACTGAACCTGCTGTAGGCTCGTGCCCAATCAGTCCCAATTGGGAGAGGCTCATGCTGCCACAGCAACGCTCACCGGCCATGAGCCCTGCATCTGGTGCCCTCCCAAGGGGAGTGGTCTGCAGGATCAGGACAAAACTGGCTCTCTGACATCCCCCGAGGGGTCCCAGATTGCAAGAGGCCAGGCTGAGGGACCCCACCAATGCACAATCGGGGCCGGGCAGGGACTGGGACTGACCAGCCAGGAAGGGATGCGGAAGGTTGGCCAGCTGGGGAGGGACCGTGGGAGGGCTCCAGGGCGTATTGCTCAGTCCCAATCGGCCAGACTCCAGGAGCAAGCTAACCTACCAGTCAGAGCGTCTGCCCCCTGGGTGGTCAGTGCACGTCATAGCGAGCGGTTGAGTGGCCTTAGCATATCATTAGCATATTACACTTTGATTGGTTAAACAGTTGATGGTCACTGGACAACTGGAAACTTAGCATATTAGGCTTTTATTATATAGGATGGGCTCTGTGTTTTTGTTTGTTTGTTTTTTGTTTAGATTCCACATGTAAGTTTATTTCACTTAACATAATGCCCCTGAGGTCTATTCATGTTGTTGCAAATAGCAACATTTTACTTTTTTTATGGCTCAATAATATTCATATATACCACATTTCCTTTATTCACCCATTGTTGGCCATGTCTTGCCTATTGTAAATAATGCTGCAATGAACATGGAACCCATATATTTGTAGGAATTAGTGGTTTCATTCCTGGATCATATGGTAGTCCTATATATTTTTTCAGGACTTCCATAATAGTTGCACCAATTTACATTCCCACTGACAACTGACAGTACACAAGGGTTCGCTTTTCTCCACATCTTCACCAATACTTATTTCTTGTCATTTTGATAATATCTGTTCTGACAGGTGTGAGGTGATACCTCATTGTGGTTTTAATTTGCATTTCCCTGATTACTAGTGATGTTGAGCATCTTTTTACGTACACAATGGACATCTACATCTTCTTTTGAATAATATTCAGATCCTCTGCCTTTTTTTGTTGTTTTTAACCTTCACCTGAGGATATTTTTTCCATTGATTTTTTAGAGAGAGTGAAAGGGAAGAAGAGAAGCAGGGAGGAAGGAATAAGAAGAGAGAGATGTGAGAGAGAGACGTCGATTGGTTACCTCCCACATGTGCTCTGATCAAGGACAGGGATTGAACTTGCAACCCAGGTACATGCCCTTTACCAGGAATCAAACCCATGACCCTTTGTTGCATGATCGATGCTCTAATCACTGGGTACACCATGTAGGGATTCTCAGATTTTTAATCAG